CAGGCTTACTGTGGAGATGGGGGCTTGTGGGAGGTGTGTGTGCACACGTGTGCATCCATGTGGATGTGTACATGTGGGGTTCGAGTACGTGTGTATATCTACTTGTTCACATGTGTGGGATGCATCAATATATGTGTATCTTTGTATGTGTGTTTGTGTGTCTGTATGTGTGTTGTGTGTGTGGTGAGCTCTGTGTGTGTGTTTGTGTGTACATGCGGTGTGTGTATGTGCATGTATGTGCATGTGTGTTTGTGTGTGTGGCTGGACTGGTCCATGGAATTGGACCCCGCCCACCTGGTCTGCACTGCCTCCTGAGAAGCCACACCCCTTCACAGTGCACTGGCTGGTCTTCCTTCCCAGGCAGGCTGGGGCTCGGGTAGAGCCAGACCCCAAAACTGGCCCCCAACGAGGGAAACAGAGTCGAGGGAAAGGGTTAGAGGTGGAGGCTGGTGGGGGGGGGGGCCTGCAGAGAGTCTTGGTTTATTCACAAGACCCTTGCACCCTGACTCCAAGGAGGCAGGGGCTCCCCGACTTATTTCAGCAGCACTGTTAGCTCATGAAGGCACACACCTGCTCTGTGGGTCTACTTTGGGCATTAAGAGTAATCAAGCAGCAATTCATGTTCACGGAGAATACAGGTGGTGCTGGGCACCGTGACCTGTGCCCTGGTCATTGCTGGGCTTCCTCATTGCGGCCTCACAGCGGGGCAGAGACTAAATGCATGCCCACTGGGTACTGGGAGCAGGCAGAGCCGGTAAGGGCGAGAGCTGGGGACAGACTCTGCACTGGGTCTGCCAAAGCCTTTGCTTTAAACCATCATCAGAATTGACTGTAGGGACTTGATTTCTTTTTTTTTTTTTTTAATTTTTTTTTAATGTTTTATTTATTTCTAGGAGAGAGAGAGAGAGAGAGGGAGACAGCGTGAGCAGGGGGGGTCAGAGAGAGAGGGAGTCACAGATTGAAATAGGCTCCAGGCTCTGAGCCGGCAGTCAGCACAGAGCCCGATGCGGGGCTCGAACCCACGAACCGTGAGATCATGACCTAAGCGAACGTCGGACACTTAACCGACTAAGCCACCCAGGAGTCCCTGTAGGGACTTGATTTCTAAGATCTTAATCCCTGGGCTAAAAGAAAGAGTGGGGCACTGCGCCTGGCATGCGGAAGAACTGGGTTAGTTGTTTTGGGCCAGAAGACTGTGATGTGACAACAAATTGGAGTGTGGGGGAGCCCAGAATGCCCCCAGACTCCTGCGCTCCCTTTCCCTCCCCAAAGTGCACAGGAAGAAGTGTACCCCAGAACAGCTACCGGGCAATAAACCCTTACTGAGTGCACCCGCTGTGCCAGGGCCCTAAACACACTGTCTTCGGTAACTACCCAGCACTAGGAGGAGCCGTTCCGAAGGGCTAAAGAATCAGATAGACCTGCCACTTGTGTAGGGAGTCTCAGAGTCTCCATGTGAGAAGGGCCTCCGCAGGGATGAAGCCAGACAGCGGCCAGTTCTATTCCAGGGACCAGTTCAGGTTCTCCATTACACACACCCACTGTGTGATTTGGCTTTGCACACTCGTTGTACACCATTTTATGAATGTCTCCTCCTTGACTCGACTGCAAAGCACCTTGCTCTGTATCCCTTTGCCGGTACGTAGAAGGCACTCAATACAAGACTTGGAAAATGAGCAAGAAAACACAGCTCTGCTGCTGCTGCGAATTCTAATGAGATGGAATCATTCCAGAACCGTGCATTAAGGAATGATTCTAATGGAGGGTATTTGGGTGCTTGGAGACCTGTTTTGGGCCGAGGTCCTTAAGGTTTTCCAAATCTCACTGCTCAGGTTGCTGCTAGCTTGGTTCAAGCCCATTGCCTCTTATCTTCCTCTGCCGTTGTTAGTATCACCCTGTTCATCTCTGGAGGCCTTGACTTTCAAGGACATAGGGAATCACTTCTCTCAGATGTTTGTGTCCCCTAGTGTCATTAGTGGCTGCAACTAAGTGTCACGCTTGTGAAATGGCCATGTGATACCTACCATAGGTATTGCTTTTTTGTTACATGTGGACTTGTGCTTAGGGAGACTCCAGATGGCATTAGGGGGTTCTAGACTTGTTTTAAATGGAGATGTTTGTGTAGGCCCCGGTGGCCTTGGGAACATCTTTTAAGAAATGTCATGTTGTCACACTCGGGTTCTGAACCCAAAACCTGTTCATTCCCCAGGGCAGGACACGTGCAGAACCACCAAGAGCTTTAATTCCACTTTAATCAGATTCCATTCCATAGAACACTCCCTTAATGAGGGTTAATGGCATTAATTACTGTCCTCTTCACTTAAGAACGTGGTCAAGAGGAGCTAAATAATGGCCCCGGAATAGCTCAGGCCCCAGCAGAACTCCCTAGAAGAGTCTATTGCCCTTCTTTCCGCCAGCCCCCTCTGCCCTCCACTCCACACTTCTTATTTTCCCTTCCTCACGTCATTTTTCCCATGTCCGTGGATGTACACAGTGTTACCTTTCCAGGGGATTTGGGATTTCACACACTGCCGACAGGCTCATAGTTCCAGAACCTTCCCGGTGGATGAGGCTATAAAGGGCATTCTTCCTGAAGGACATGTGTGCTGGACAACTCTTCCGAGGGCAACCCAGCAAGAGCCATTTAGATGAAAATGGGCAGGTAATGTGATCTGGTGACATTCCTGCTAAAAGTTTATCTCACAGACTTTTTTTCCCCAAGATGAAGGTAAAAAGGTATTCATTCTGGCATTGATGGAACACAAAAGGGTGTATGTAATCTCAAAGACTGGGTATGCTGTAAAAAGAAATAATTATGCTATAATCTATCATCTATCTATCTACCTACCTACCTACCTACCTATCTCTATTTTTTAATGTTGTTTCTTAAATTTATTTTTGAGAGACAGAGACAGAGCATGAGTAGGGGAGGGTCAGAGAGAAAGGGAGACACAGAATCTGAAGCAGGCTCCAGGCTCTGAGCTGTCAGCACAGAGCCTGAATCAGGGCTCAAACTGGGATCACGTCTCTGTGTGAATGTGCCGTGGGAAAGAGCAGGAGACATTGGGATGCAGTTAGGGCATCCTTACTGGTTACTCTAAAGCTGGGCTATTAAATACATTAGTCACACTGGCTACATGAAGCCATTTAAATTAATAGCAGGTAAAAAAACACCCAGTTCTTCAGTTGGACCAGCCACATTTCAAGTGCTTAATAGCCATGTGGGACTGTTGGCCACTCCTGTGAGTGAACACAGACCTCAACCACCATTTTGATTGCTGTGGGAGGTTCCATTGGATGGGAGCTTCGGGGACACACGTTTATGTGTTCCACTTCTGCCATTTAATTACTGCTTTTTTAAGGTTTATTTATTTATTTTGAAAGAGAGAGAGACAGAGAGAGAGAGAATGCTCAGGAGGGGCAGAGAGAGGAGAGGGAGAACCCCAAGCAGGCTCTACACGGTCAGTGCAGAGCCCGAACCAGCTCAGACTCAAGAACCCTGAGATCATGACCTGAGCCAAGATCAAGAGTCAGATGCTTAACTGACTGTGCCACCCTGGTGCCCCCAAATTATTAATGGTTTATTAAGCTTTACCAACACAGAGTTTATGAGTTCTGGTCAAATGCACTTGTCATGAAATTAAAACCAAGGTCCGTGGTACTGTCTACTTGTAACATTTTCATAATGCTTATTTACAATCCTCGTGATTTTCATTTCTTTACAAGCCAGATCCAATCTTTTGTAATGAACATCAAATTTAGAGCCTTGAAGTCTCTTCTTGGCTCATAGCCAAGGGTGTGTTTCCCATGCGATGAGATTGTACCAAGGGGCTTGGTACAATCACCCAGGACACATGGAAGTTGAACCTCTCCATGAGTGGGATTGAGCTGGGAGTCTGCCCAACTCTTGAGCCTTGGCCAGACACGGGGTGACCCAGGTAGTGGGGGGCAGGCCCACACTCTGTTGAAACCAGTTCCTTCAGGAAGAGAAGGCAAGTCTACTGCAGGCCAAAGCTGGGGTTGTTGACGCACCCAGACTGGGGAGGCTGCCTTCCAGTGTGAGTAGGGCACATCCCCAGCGAGTGGACCCGTAGGCCTCCTCTCTCCATCCTACTTTATGCCTGTGCAGACTCAGGCTGAGGGAAGAAGACACCCAGAAAGCACACGTGGTTTTAGGCACTGAAGAGCTAATCTACCAGGAATCCGGGAAAACGAGGTCAGCTTGGTCTTCAGAGAGGGAGATTCTACAACTTCCTGTGCTGTGACCAGAACCATCAGATAGGGTATTCTGAAATTTCAGATTAAATTCATTTCAAGTCTGTGTCCTCTGATGGCGTTCTCACCACGGCTCTGAGGTGAGTTACTTACTGTCTTCCACCAAATAACCTTTCACATTCATACAAAATTTGTTTATCTCTTGATCCTTATTCTTCTATTCTTTTTTGAAGTTTATTTAGAGAGAGAGGGAGAGGGAGAGCAAGCAGGGGAGGGGCAGAAAGGGATGGAGAGAGAGAATCCCAAGCAGACTTCACACTGTCAGTGTGGGGTCTTATGTGGGGCTCGAACTCACAAACCATGAAATCATGACCTGAGCGAAAGCCAAGAGTCAGATGTTTAGCTGATTGAGCCACCCAGGCGCCCCTAGTCTTGTTCTCATTTAGCATTTCTTACTTCATTTAGGCTTCCTCTTTTCCACATTTACTTTATGTTCCCATAATGCTTTTCTCCCACCATCAGTCTGCCCGTGTTCCCATGCTTGTCGAGGGCAGCAGGCTGGGAGTGAGAAGGACTTTGGTCCCACTGTCCCAGATGTCCACTGTGTGACCCTGGGCCTTAGTTTCCCCAACTTCAAAGTCAGTAGATTAAACTCGTGAAATTTAAGCATCTTTTTTTAGCTTCAGCAGCCAAATTACTGAGTCAGTTCAAAGACAACAGTTTTATTCCATTATATAAAATATATTAATTGATCAAAGACTTAATGTATTAAAATATGTGCAAGATAATATACAGTATATATGGATTACTACAAAGCCAGAGTGTTGGTGACAGATTCAAGCTACTTACTAGTTTGTCAAATCAGTGTATTTTCTAAATATTACGTGTTAAATTTGGTGTCTTGTATTGGTGAGCTGGAAAGATTGTGGAGTGTGTAAGGAGTGGATTTCAGTTATATACAAGATTTACATAGATTAAGAGGTAGTTATAAGCTCTAGAAACAATTGCTATGGACATTGAACTTGGTGTACAGCATGCAAAGATCTGAGTGAATGCAGGGGCTGACGAGCTCATGGTGTTGGCCTGGGTCTTCTTTAGACAGGCGACGGTGAGCCTTCTCCCTGGCGAGCCAGGGCCACCTCCATCCCTGATACACTCAAGGATGGTTCTTGAGAAAGGTGTTACTTTTTCTTCTTCTCCTTTTTTCCTTTCTTTTCCTTCTTTTCTCCTTTCCCCTTTTCTTTTTCAGCGATTCCTCCTGTTAGCGCCAAGGTTCGCTTTTTACCCATAGGGGTTTTGGAATACCAGTCCTGAAATAAAACAGATTTTTAGGAAAATGTCAAAATGACACATATTCACTCAAATATTCTTTTTTTAAATGTTTATTTATTTTGATAGAGAGAGAGTAAGTGAGGGAGGGGCAGAGAGAGGAGAGAGAGAATCCCAAGCAAGCTTGGAGCTGTCAGTATGGAGCCCCATGTGGGGCTTGAACTCACAAACTGTGAGATCAGGACTTGAGCCGAATCCAGGATTGGATGCTCAACTGACTGATACCCAGGGGCCCCTCAGTGGAATATTTTTAAAAATAGAGAAAAGCTTGCTAAGAAGGAAGAGGCAAGCAGCCATTAAAATTTAGACATTTAATGTATTTTAAATAGAAATTCTTTCTCAGTGAGTTTTCCAAGCCGTGTTTTGACACAACTTGCAACTTCTACCTCAAGGAGTTAACAGTATCAGAGAATCGCAGACCAAATCTGACTAGCGGCCCTTCCCAATGAGTCTCCTAGCTTTCCGGGGATCTTACCCGATCCTGAGGGCATGGGCTGTCTTGGTCTCCTGAATAGCCCTGCCCGGTTCACACATGGCCACCAGTCTAGCTTCTAGCGGCCACATGGGAGCCACGAAGAGGCCACACGGACGCACCGAGGGGGACTATTGAAAACATGGCAGAAATACTGGGACCGACATACCACCTTGTGGCTGCGACTGGTCCTGAGGATGCATTTTCTCAACCTTCACTTTTCATTTGAAAGCTGAGAAACATTTTTAGTTCATAAACTTCAGAGTAGTAATAATATTTCACTGAGTGACTATCCTGCAAGTGGTTTATCAATTCTCCTATTAACGGACATATAAGCCGTTTCCAACTTTTTGTTAGGAACGATGTTGACATGCACAATTTTTACATATCTCCTTGTAAACTTATGAGAAAATTTCTCTGGAGAATATCCAGAGAAGTAGAATTCCTGGGCTGGTAGGGTGTGCGCATCTTCAATTTTGCTGCTTATTTCTTAACTGCTCCCTGGAGTCGCTGTGAGTGGGAGGCTATTTCAGTCTACGTAAGTCTTAAAATGTCTTTATTTTTTCCTGTCTCCCGAGTGCTAGCTTAGTTGGGGATAAATGTTAGGTCCACGGTTACTCTTCCGCAGCACTTTGCAGAAATGATCATACTATCTTCTGGTATGGACTGCTGTCAAGGAGCTGCCTGAGCTCTTCATTGTTGGGGTTTTGTAGGCAACCCGCCATCTTTAAAGACTGGGTTGTTGTCTTGTTCTTAGATTCACAATAATGTATGTGATGTGGATGTGTTTTTATTTGTCCCATCAGTCACTTGGAGTTTGTTTTCGATCTAAGAACTTACGTCTTTAATTCAAGAAGAATTTCAGCAAAGTATTTCTTTAAATCATCATTCCTCTGATATTTCTTTTATTCTCTTTCTCTAGAACTTCTGTAAGTTGGGTGTCTTAATTGCAGTTTATAGATTTATAAACTATATAAAACTATAAATAGAAACCATATAAATCTATATATACTATATATACAGTATATATAGTTTATAGATTTTTATCTTTTTGTTTTTCTGTGCTGCCTCCAATCCATGAATTTGCTCTTTGACCATGTCTAGTCTAGAGTTCATACCTCTCTTATTCTTTTTTTTGCTATTTTAAGTTATTATATTTTAAATTTCTTTTCTTCAAGACTCTTATTTTTAAGTAATCTTTTCTTCAAGACTCTTATTTTTAAGTAATCTTTTCTTCAAGACTCTTATTTTTAAGTAATCTCCATTTTAAAAACCTCTTATTTTTAAGTAATGTGGGGCTTGAACCCACAATCCAGAGATAAAGACAGACACACTCCACTGACTGAGCCAGCCAGGCACCCCTATATTTTTTTATTTCTAAGCTTTCTTTTTGTGATTTTTCTCCCATAATTATCTCTTCTTACTCCATTTCTGCCTGTCTTTGTTTCAAAACTTTGTGTACATCTCTAATGGAAGTGAAGCCTTCATTTACGTTTTTGAACGTATGAATTATATCAATTTAAACATCTTTATCAAGTCGTACTTAGCTCTAGATTTCCTAAAATGTTTTGGAATTTTTATTTTCAGGTTCATTTTGAGTGGGAGTGTTTTGGTTGTATCTCTCTCATTATTTTTCCCTCTCTCAAGTGCTTCCACACAATCCTCTAAAGCCAAATCCAGAAGCACATCTTACAATGAGCACATCTGCCGTGATGTTCACCTGCCACAGATATGGTGGACAGGGCAAGGTTTAGTCTCTTCATTTCCCAGCCCTGGTTTTTCTCTGTGCCGCATGCCAGGCATATAGTTGTCCCTGTGTTTGAGATTTATCTTTGTTTCTGGCACTTGGGGATTTTTCTCATCTTTCTTTTAGCTTTGGTTCTGTTCTCAATATAAGGTGAGGTGGCCACGTACTTCAGGTGATGGACTCCTACCAATTTATTTATACACAGTTTTGGGGCATCTGGGTGGCTCAGTCGGTGAAGAGTCTGACTCTTGATTTCAGCTCAGGGTTCGAGAGATTGAGCCCAGCATCAGGCTCTGTGCTGATAGTGTGGAGCCTGCTTGGGATTCTCTCTCTCTCCCTCTCTCTGCTCCTCCCACCTTGATCTCTGTCTTCCTATCTCTCTTCCCCCACCCCTGCTTGCATGCTCTCTCTCTCTCAAAATAAATAAATAAACTTTATAAAAAAAGATTATGGTTAATAAAAGTGTCTGGACTATGGTTTGAACTTCAGCCTTGTTCCTTTTTAGCTGTGTGACTACAAGCAAGTCATTTGACTCTTTTTTTCCCCTGCTGTAGTAAATTACCATAAACTCAGTGATGTAAAACAAAACAGTTATTATCTTTCAGTCCTCAAGTTCAGAAGTCCAAAAATGGGTCTCACTGGGCTAAATCAAGGTGTCTGCAGCCTGTGTTCCTTTCCCGAACAACAGGGCAGAATCTATTTCCCCATCGTTTGCATTTTCCTGAGACCACCTGCTGCCGTGGCTTGTGGCTCCTCCTTCATCTTCAAACTGGCTTCAGACTTCATCTTCAACTTCCTTGGTCTCTCTCCTGATTTTTTCTTCCACTTTTTTATGATTACATTGGACTCACCAGTATGAGTCAGGATAGTTTGTCTTAGGTTCAACAGATGAACAGCTTTACCCCATCTGCAACCTTAACTCCCCTTTGCTATATAACCTAACCTATTTACAGGTCTAGGGACTCTGATGTAGACATCATTCCGGGAGGCACTATCCTGTCCACCACACCTCTCTATGACTCCATTTTCTCATTTGTAAATTGAAGGGATGATGAGGTTTAAATGAGTTAACAGAGTGCCTGGCACAAAAATAGTCAGCAAGTATTGGCTAACCTTATTAAGATTATTATTATTAGTTTTTAAATGTTTACTTATTTATTTTGAGAGACAGAGACAGCATGAGTGGCAGAGAGGCAGAGAGAGAGGGAAAGAGAGAGAATCCCAAGCAGGCTCCACGCTGTCAGCACAGAACCAGATGAAGGGCTCAAACCTACACTGTGAGGCAATGACCTTCATGATCTGAGCCGGAATGAAGAGCCAGAGGCTTAACCGACTGAGCCACCCAGGTACCTCTAACATTATTAGGATTAGTACCACCATTATCCTTAAACATTTTTTCCATCATGTTCACAGATCAGGGTGCAGTGTGTTTGGAGAATCCTCAAGACCCTGGTCTGACACGATGTCAGAAGCACAGTTAGGTCAAATTTCACAGGGCAGAAATGATTGACCTGATCACAAGCTGCTACAGTCACAGCATCATGTTATTAAGCAGTGTGATGTAACAAGTCCATCTGTCCATCTGTTCAATAAATTTGCCACTAAACAAATTCATTGAAATTGTAGTTGGGGCCTGGCGCTGGGGCCAAGCTCTCGAGGTATTGATAAGGAGCAGAAATTGACGGGGCAAGGGGATTAGTAGTAATGGTGGTAAAATGATTTAGTTTCCTCAAAAAAAAAAAAAAAGGAATAATGTGATCAAATATGCCAAGAATGGAAGGGAAAAGCATATATGTTCTCATCCAGGTTATGCAATGGCAGCATGTCTTTCCCATGAATAGTGTGATCACTTATAGTTACCAGACCTCAAGCACCTGGAACAGAGAAACGTCTACAAATCACTTTGGAAAGTTAAAAAGCCAGCTAAGAGAAAGCACAGGTTCTGCTACCCTAAACTCAGCTCCTCAGAATAAGGAGGAAAATGATTATTTTAGAAGGGCAAAAAGGAATTGGGAATTTCGGAAGAGAATGCGATGTATCACAGGAAGAGGCTAAATATTTGCAGTTAATTCTAAGAAGATTAAAACAGTCAACAAGAGCATTGATTCAAATCCTTGGCGGAAACTCCAGCTTGGAGTTGGAAATATCTCTTTTCAGTTTTGCAAACTATAGCTGATGGGCCAAATCTGGCCCACTGCGTGTTTTTTTTTTTTTTCGAATAAAGTTTTATTAGAATGCAGCCATGCCCATTCATTTACATACTGTGTATGAATGCTTTTGTACTATGATACAAGATTGAATAGTTGTCACAGACTCTGCAGAGCTCTCAAAGCTTAAAATACTTGTTAGCTGGCTCTTTATAGATACATCTACCAATTCCTGCTCTAGATTATTATTGTGGTGATCAGTATTGTGACTATTTTCTACTTTGTGCTGAAACATTAGTGGCAAAGCAGGAGGGAAACATGGTTTTCAGAGTTGGCAGAAAAGTATTACATTGCAAAGGGACATTTTCCTAATCTCAAGCAGGTTTCCAGACACAATACAGCTTAGATGAGAATTCTAATTCTTTTTCTGATGATTGCACGGCCAATGTTGTGGTATAATCTTATGGATACAATTTTCCTTCTTTTTTCCCAGTTGGCCAAGGAGACTGCCTCCTAGTCCAGAAAGTGAACACAACTGTATTCATTTTGATTAAAAGGAGTGTGAGGTGTGCCTGCTGGCCTGGGCATCCAAGGCTCTACTGTTGATTTGGTTGCATCAGTAAGGCACAAAGCTCTCTGAAACTTCCTTTTCTCCTGTAAAAGAGGGATTTGGAAGAGATGTTTCTCATTTTCCTCTAGATCTAAAAAATTCTATGAACATCACAGAATGGGATAAAATATGGAATAAAACCAGCATGGGCCTGAGATGCACTATTTAGGGAACAGTGTTCTCTACGCACAACTTGTTCCATTACATGAAATACAAAGAACGCAACACACGTATGTGTGAATGTGTGTGCATCCATGTGAGTGTGTGTGCGTGTTCGAATCCAGTGGTTTTGAAGCTGCTATTCAATCCTGCAATTTGGCTGTTAATTTATAAGATCATAGGCCACATTTCTCCCTAAAATTTGAAGCTGCTATTCAATCCTGCAATTTGGCTGTTAATTTATAAGATCATAGGCCACATTTCCCCCTAAAATTTGGAAGACACATGTTTATGGGCAAGGCTGGAAAGAACTTGTAATCCAAACATTTCGAGTTTTCAAATTTCATTGTATATGACAAATTCATGAAACTCAGGAACCAGAGGGAGGAGACCATGTGACAGGCGTCTGTGGCTAAGACTTGGCCACATGGGCCATTTACCTTAAAGCTCTCTTCTTCCTCCTGGTACACCGGGTTCATGCTGGCTAGTGCTGCAATAAACTCCGCCGCTGTGAGTGGTTTGTAGTTTTGCCGGTGGATTCTGCGGTCCGTGAGCACACCTTTAACCACCTGGACTATGTGTCCTTGGGTGAAGCCATCGGTGACCTTCGCCAGGCAACTTACATTCAAGGCATTCGTAATGACGCCTCCATTGCGTTGAATGATCTGTTTCCACAAAACTGTTGTATCCAAGGTGGTGGAAAAGACACAGAGAACTAGGATCACCACAGAGAAAGCAGGATTTTCTAGATCTTGGTACAAAGTTGCATCTTACCAAGAAAGGGACGCACAGGAGGGAAAATTCCATTTTATTTGTAATTCAAATGAGCAGGAAGCCATATAGCTAAATACTTACTTCCCTCTGAGTGATTTTCAACCATAAGACATACATATTGAGGGCCCCGAGGTCCTACATCCACAAGACAAGGAAAAATTAAACCACATTCAGTATAGTTTTAGTGCAGTACCTTCAACGATGCTCAAGATCTTTCAGAATCGGAAATTCAGATAGGCCATGTATGGGATCTCTGCTCATCAGAATATTACATTTTCCAAAGTGTTTATATGAGGAGGAGTTTGAACTTTTTTTTTTTTTTTTAGTTACAAAGGTTTTGTACATTATTTTTATATGTGGAATTGGAATGGAGATTCCAATTTCCATTTGTCACTAATGGGTCCAGTCTCCTCAGGGTACAGTTTGACCCATATTCTCTTCCCCACCCCCAACAGCTGTAAATGGGCAGAGATTGACTGAAATCTCCCCAGTGGGTGCCCAGTTGTTCTTCAGGTTAGTGTGACCTGGGAAACAGAACTATTTCGCTTAGAACATAGGGAGGGTGTGAAAATGAATTATGAAATTACTGAACTTTAGAGGTAGACTGGGCTCCCACACAGCATTTCAAATACTGTAACATTTAGAGCCCTATATCGTTTTCACATTAGTTGTACCCAGACAGTGAGGAAAGGTGATGCATTGCCAAGACCACCTGTCTCAGAATCATTCTCAGGGCTGGAAAGATCTGGTCAAATGTCTCCCAAGCATTGTGACTTTCTTCGAGGAATATTTGAAACAGTTTTTTTTTTTTTTTTTTTTTAAATAACCACTATTGGGCGCCTGGGTGGCACAGTTAGTTAAGCATCCAACTTCGGCTCAGATCATGATCTCACGGTTCATTGGTTTGAGTCTCACATCAAGCTCTGTGCTGACAGCCTGGAGCCTGGATCCTGCTTTGGATTCTGTGTCTCCCTCTCTCTCTGCCCCTCTTCCATGCATGCTCTATCTCTCTAAGATTAATAAACATTAAGAAATTTTAAAAATGACCATTATTATATAATCTGAGCACTGTCAGGTCTCGTAAATGACTACCTCATCCAAATATATTGATCCAAAAATACCTGATAAAATGAAAACGTCTAATTACTGTCCAGGAATAAAATAACCTTCAGTGTATCTATGAGTCACATCATAGAGTCTGATTTTGGGTCATGAGTCTTTTTAACAACCCAACTCCACTGTCCTCTTTGATGGTGAAGGGTGAATGGTCTTTGGCCTTGGGATGAGCTGAGTTATTGGAAGGGGCGCATGTCCCCCTGGGGTCTGCAGTGTCACCCAACGGTGCCAGGTTAGGTGTCATGGGCCACATGGACCACCAGGCTGACCTAAAGGAACACCCGACCACCTGGATCTACTCTGCTGCTTCCGTGGTGGGTTTGGGCTCTAATCCATCTTCGGCTTACCTATAAAATGGGAGTAGATTTACTTCTCGGGCTGCTGTGAAAAACACATACAAGACTGTAGACAAAGCACTTGGAAGAGTGCTGTTGTAATATATGGGGGGGGGGCACTTTATTTTCTGTAGCTGCATTACTGTTGTTATCGTAATTATAATTATAATCGTTTGTCATTCCATTTTGTACCAAAGTTTCCTAATGCTCATTAAAACGCCAATTATAAAAGGGAGCATGAAATAAATACAGAATATGTCAAAGAATGTTTATGTAGAACAGATCATAGCAGGTGAGGATTGCCCTTAGCTAGATATAAGTGAGGAAACATTAGAAATCAGAAGATACAACTCACGGGAAAAATAAGAACAATGACCACTAGCATCATCCCTTGGGATCTAGTGTGTCCCCTGTCCAGATTTATGATAACGTCAAAAAAAGGTGCGAACTGGTCTGAAGAGTGACTGGAAGCTGAGAAGAGGGCGTGCTTTAAGGGGAGTCACAGGACATAGCTCCTAAAGCTAGCACCCAGTAGGTGTCCCAGGCTGGAAACTCAGACAGCTTCAGAGGTGGGCCCCCAGACAAACTTCTTACCCATGGCACGGAGTGAACCAATCAGAAAGCAGCCAGTAAATGGGGAAGGCCTAGGGTCCCAGAAACCAAGCCCGGCTCTCCTCCCTGCCACCCTGCTAGGCTACGACAGTCACAGCCTGTCACCACGACGGGCCTCTCTACGAGTAAAGACTCTTCACGAACAGAGCAAAAGACTACAATTATGCTGGTCTATTAAGTATATGTGGACACAAAACTGACCCTTTAAAATGCATGATATTTGATATTTATGTAGCATTTTGATCAAGGTTCTCCCAAATTCACAAATCGTCGATTTCCCGCCAGTGCTCACCATTTGTTAATGGAGGCACAATAAGGGAACAGTGGAGGCAGTCACAGTTATGGCAGCCAGAGCCTTCTCAAGAGCCAGAGATTGGGAAAGAGGTCAGTTTGACTTCTCATATTTGATGAACTGGACTTGCCTTTAAAAGAGCTTTACTGTCGGGGCGCCTGGGTGGCTTAGTCAGTTAAGCGTCCGACTTTCGCTTAGGTCATGATCTCGCGGTTCGTGGGCTCGAGCCCCGCGTCGGGCTCTGTGCTGACAGCCAGCTCAGAGCTTGGAGCCTGTTACAGTCTGTGACTCCCTCTCTCTCTGACCCTCCCCTGCTCATGCTGTCTCTCTCTCTCTCCTAGAAATAAAAAAATTAAAAAAAAAAACATTAAAAAAAAGAGCTCTACTGTCACAAAGCCACCAGCTGTGGGGCTAAGAGGGGGAGTCAGATGCAGAGTGAGTCACAACCTGAGGGCTTCACTGAGATGGGAATGCCACAGTGAGCTCTGAGCCGCAGCTGCTGAGGCTTTGGTCCAGGAGCGCAGGTGGAGAGGATGAGAAGACAACAGATGTGGGGACTGGCCGCGGGGGTGGTGGTCGGGGGGCCAGACCAGCAGATGAGTGCACGGAGGGCAGTTGAGGTGCTCCCCACGCTGAAGTGTTCCCCAGACCGAGTGCCATATTTTATCTTCCTTCTCCTGGATGTGAAAGGCTCCTCAGTTCTTCAGATTAATCTACATTCCCTTTTCCTTTTTCAGGCTGAAAAGAATCTGGTCTCTGGATCCCCTTCTCGGTTTCTGACATTCCAGACCGATTCTACACTGGCTCCCCACTTGTTGCCTGAGATGATGTAGTATCTTAAAATTCACTCTTTAATTTACGGTTTTACAATAGCACAGGAAGTGATTATATGATTTGGATTAGCTTCTGGCCTCTGAAGACTAGAATGCCAGAAAAATCGGAAGACATGACGCTGGGTCTGGGGTGGGGGCCTGTGATGAATCGGAATATTAGTGAAACAGATCCCTGGGAAGAGAGGCCAGAGAGGGAGGCATTAGGAACATGGGGAGAGGAGGCCCAGAGGGATTTCTGGGGACTAGACAAGGCATTAATCAACCTTGTGGGTAGATTTTCTTCACAGACATTTAGAAGGAAATAGTTTGATTTGGGGAAAGACGGTAGAGACTGAATTCTGTTTTGTAAACCTTAACGACTGTGTTTCCCCAAGCTGATCCACCCTTCCCTTCTCAGCCCTGTTCTTCCCCAGCCCTGCCTGGAGGGATCACGAATGTTCCCAAAGACCTTCCATGCTCCGCTGCTGGTAGAGAGATGGCCAACCAGAGTCCCAAGTTATAGATTTGCAGTTCATGCTTTACAGGCTGGAAGAGACCATTTTTTGATCAGTGCAAAGATAGGACAGTCTTTCTTTAAGATGGATGTCCCAGCCACTGGGGCTATGAAAACTTCAAGGTCACCAGGGGAAATGCTGGACAGCATTTATGATGTCAGCAAGAATGACAGCCTGAACAAATCACCCACCACGGGAGAAATGTGTGAGAAGCCCGTGGTTTAGTGGACAGAGCCCTGGGCCCGAGGAAAGTTCTGTACGCAAGTTTATCATCTGCCCACAGGTGAAGGGATGTTTTTTCCTTCCTTCTCTGTGATGCCGCCACAGGGAGATTCAAATTGGAAACTGTAATGTGATCTGTGTCCTAACACAGGCCTGACGTTTTATCAAAAAACCACACAACTGTCCTTGTTATACACGAACAGCTTCATTTTTAAAGGGCCTATGGTTTTGTCAACCAGTAGAAACTATTCAATCCAAAGTCAAGAATAATGCTCTGGTCGCTTAAAATTAATAATACCCTACCTTATTCCATTCAGGTAGCTTAAAATACATATCTACCATCCCAAAGCCTGTGAGGTTGGGAGAGGAAGTCTGACCAACCAGAGTGAGAGCGGGGAAGTTCAGAGAAGGCCAGGGGTATGGGACATTCCATGCTGGCTCAAGTACCTCTGGCACCCATCCCAGTGTGTGTGAATCCTTCTGGGCAGGGCCACACATCCCTGTGCCCTTGAACTTCAGTGGGGCCACGGGAGTCATCCTGGCCAATGCAACATCAGTGAAACAACATCGGGCCCTTCTGGGTCTCGTCCCTAAAACTTCCTGTGAGATACTCTCTAGTGTCTTCTCTCTTTTCCTTTCATGCTAGTTGAATGCAAAGGTCCCCACGGAGGGCCTCGTGGCTCTAGAAGATGGAGAAGCCACTAATATGACAGAGAAATAATCGAGACCAAATTCCTCCTGTACTTTGTGGATAACATTGATTTGTGAAGCCAGGATCCCAGTTCATCAAGATAGAAATGAGTGCATATTGCACGTGGAGTGGCTGACAAGCTGGGAGTTTATACTGTGTGGGGAGTAGAGGGTTGTTCTTTAGCAGATAACATTGGCCAGGAGCTTAAGACCAACCAGAAAGGACCACAGAGCCCCTCTGTTTTGGGGGTGCTATTGTGACTGGGGAAGGATGACTAGAAACCAAGTCTGACCTCGTCATTTTCATTACTTCTATTAATGTTATCCACTATCATTCAGCTGCTGCCTCATTTCCACCACTGCTCCACCATGGGCACCTTCTTATCCATACCACCATCACCACCACCATCACCACAACCACCATCACTACTACTGTCCACGTGCCCACCTTCCTGTCCACACTACCACCTCCCCCACCCCCCACCACTAATGCCCACATGACCATCTTCTTTTCCCCAGCACCAGGATGCCACCACCATCATTGCCATTTGCAACACTGACGCCCCCACCACCATCTCTGTACCAAATCTACTACTACCACTCCCACCATTGCCACCACCACGAGAGGTAAAGATGGCCCCTCAATGAGTCACACCATAGTATTCACACCCTAGTGGGGCCCACTGCCCTTGAATCTGGGCTGGCCTGGCACTTCCTCTTGACCAGCAGAGTTTGGTGAAAGTGATTTTGTGTGACTTCTGAGGCTGGGTCACAAGACGCCTTCCAGCTTCTGTCTGCTTCCCTTGAAACGTTTGCTCTCAGGATGCTGTCTTGTGGGGCCCAGCCACTGTGCTGTGCAAAGCCACATGGAAAGGCCAAGTGTACACTCTCTGGTTGGCATCCCAGCTGGCTCATCCCAGACAATAGCCAGCATCAGCTCCACCCACAGGAGTGAACGACCATAGGTGTCCAGCCCTGTTGAGTCTTCAGATGAAGTCCAAACTGACACCTGGCTGCAACATCCTGAGATACTTCAAAGAGGACTTTATGGCTGAGCCTGTAAACCCTCTGAACCCTGAGATGGAATAATCTGTTGTTTTAAGCGGCTAGGATGGCTAGTCACACAGCAGTAGATAACAGAAAACACCAGCCCCCACCATGGCCACTCGCTGCCCAGTCATGTACTCCCTCCCCGTAACCACGGCCGCCATCTTTGCCTCCTTCGTGGGAGCTGGGACGGTGCTGTGTGTTCTGCTGGCCCTCAGAGAAGGGTCACGACAGTCCTGGGGACGAAACAGTCCTCTTTACAGATGAAACAGTGGAGGCTCAGGAGGTCGGCTGAGCCGTCAAGGTCACCCGGCTATCCGGTGGCAGAGCTGGGACTCAGAACCAGGTCTCCTCAGAGCTCTTATCTCATGACCCTTTATGGTTTCCCTGCGCTGCCTCCAGGGTACTTTTTTAGTGTTATTCCCATTTAAAAATATATCTCAACACAAGTATATTTGGAATTCGCCTATTCAAGAGGAAAAAACTGAAAAAGAAGCTCTTTTTTATCTTAATGGTTATTATAAGTAAGTGAACAGGCTCCTGGGCTAATACTTTAAGCCTGGAAAACTTAAAAAAAAAAAAAGTCAATCTGTGGAAAGAACAATGCTCTCTCAGAGACACGCCATCACTATGAGTCCTAGATGACTACTATTGATCTACCTGCCGAAAGAAAAATTCACACCTACAAAGACTTCTGTCACCTTCAGGGCCCAAAACAAGCATCCCTGTCCAGTTTCCTTTTGTCTTGGGTAAAAAGAACAAAGTTAACAACAGAAGAGACACGCCCGTCTTGCCCTCATGGCCCGGCGGTTTGCATCTACGGCCCAGCTCTGTGGGCGTCCGGGGCCCCTCGGGTGCACCCACCTTCTGGTCAGGGGCACCCTGGCCCCGCCTCCCTCAGTGCACGGGAAGGGTCTGGGGGGTACTTGCCGAATCTGGAAGCATAGTCTGGTCTGGGAACCAAGATAATTTTTTGGTAAACTTTGCAGAAGGATTGAAGTTCCGCATCGAAAGGCCGCTGCGTGGTCCCCACGATCAGAATCCTGTCGTTCGGCTTCAGGAGTCTCAGGATTTTTGGAAGCTGTTTTTTCAGGCGTTTGGGTTCCATCTGGGAGAAAGGGGGAGAGGGGGAGATGAGGCCATGCGCGGAGACAGGAGCCAGGACCGGAAGCCATTTACTCTTAGAAGCATCAGGGTGAGTGAGTGTGTGTCACAGCGGCCTCAAGGCCCTGAGGACACCATGCTCCGAGTAGGCCCTGAGCCCAGGCCGTGATGCGTTTCCTGGCCTGGGTGGTTTGAATCCAGACCCTTCCTTTCCTCCACATCTGACACTGGGATTTGGAGAGGAGGGAGGAAGGAAGCACCTGACTGATCTTTCTAGCACCTCGACCCCCAGAATGGGACGCAGGGCCGATGTGCAAGCGGAAGGAAGCTGGCTGTTGCCAGGACTCGCCGGTGGTGATGCGCGTCCCTCTGAGCGGTTCTGAGGGTGAACCAGAGACCGCCTTTGCCGGCGGTCCTGACAGGGAGCCACCGCAGGTCTGGATCTCGTGTTTGAAAGGCACCCGGTTACAAAAGAGCATGAAACTTCTCTCTCTGAAGCAGTTTGGAAGGGGTTTGAACCTGTATGATTCTAGTAAAGTCCCGGCACTAATGAGGGAGAGGAGCAAGATGCGAGGTACCCCAGGGAGGATGACTTCAGCTCTGGGGGTCAGATTTGGCCACGTCACCATGGCAACGCACCAGCTTTCAATTAGTCTCCACCGCACAGCCACGTGGGGAGGAAGGAGGCGGAGGACACTTGGGGTGATGGAGAGAGCCTCCACGGAGGAGCCTCAAGAGCCGTCTTGGCCATTTTTGCTCCCCCTTAGCTGGGGGCCATGGAGCCAGTGAGAATCTGGACGCTGAGTGGGAGGGAAAGATGCCCACACACGGCTTTCCTGGAGCAGAGCAGACCCCAGCCCACTGTGGACACCCAGCAGACCGGCCTCTGTTGTCCAGCCCTGTGTGTCACTGCACAGCCAGCCCAGAGACAGCTCTGCAGGCAGGGAGGGCCGGTGACCCCTGGGGGAGAGCAGGTGTCTGAGAAATCCCACCCTCAGGAATAGAGGTGAACGGCAGGGTCCTGGAGCCACAGCTGGCGGGTGGGGTGACAGCGCAGGGCCTCTGGGACAGGGACACTCGTGCGGCGGTGCCCTCCTCCCCAGGAGGCTCTTGGTGGTCAGGGATGGGCCCGCCATGTGCTCTGCACAGGGGAGGGGGAGTTAGGTGCAACCGAGGGCCCTGGAGGGCAGGGGTGCCCAGCGGAGAAGGGTGGGAGAGGAGTCCTTCCGGAGAGGGCAAGGGGCTCCCCAGGGGTGCCGCACCGGCTTCTTCTGAAACCCTGGGGTGTCCTCTGTGCGTCGTGTGGCTGTTGGCGTGTAGTGTGCACAGCGGTGAGAAGGCCAGTTCCCATGTCTGGATTGACAAGGTGCAGGAGGGAGACGGGGCGGGAAAAGGCAGGAGCCTGGAGGCCACGGCGCCATTAGGAGCCTTTGTTTTTTGGAAAGCCAACTTTTTATTGTTCTTTTAAGATTTAGAAGAAGAAATATCTCTTGGGGAGCTCTGGCCCCAACAAGGCATGAGACTGGGGGCCTCCGTTGATGCCCAAGGACCAGGCAGGGAGCTGATCTCCAACTTTGACCCTCGTATTTGGCGCTTCCATGTCCAGGCTGGTGCTGTGTCTTCCAGCTGAGTATTCCTAGTAAGGAGCAGTTTGTGAGAGCTAACTGTGTCCTAGGTACTTCTCTCTGCTCAACATGGACCTCACAACCTCCCCGGGAGGGGACAGTCCTCCAGACCTGTGCCCAGAGAGGCTGTGTGACATCCTGAGTCCCAGAGTTAATGAGCAGGATCCTGACTTCCAGGCTGGCACTCCTCCCTCTGCTCTGCTGGGGTCCCCTCTCTCCCCGAGGGGATGTGCTGGGGTCTCAGGTGTCCCCCAAGTCTCCTTCCTGGGGAAGGGCCTATCCCAGTGGAGGGCTGCAAAGGAGACTTAAAATACATGTTTATTATTATTATATTGTATTATAGTTTATTATTAGATTTATATCATTATTATGATACATCCACACCAGCTTTATTAAGGTGCAATTCACATAGTATACAATTCATCTATTTTAACTGTCTAACTTAGTGGTTTTTAGTATATTCATAGAGTTGTGCAAATATCGTCAGTCAATTTTAGAACATTTTCATCACTCCCAAAAGACTGTACTCAGTAGTAGTCAGTCACTGAATGTTCCCAACCCCTAACCCCTTTCTCCAGACTTAGGCAACTGGGTATCTACAGAAATTTTGGATATGCATTCTACATAAACAGAATCATACAATATGTGTGGAGTCAGTGTGTGTGTGTGTCCATGGCTTCTTTTATTTCACATACTTTTGGGGTTCACCCATGTTGTGACATGTGTCAATACTTCACTTTGATTGCTGAACCACTGTCATGGTCCAGAAAGACCAGATTTGATTTATCCATTCATCAGTTTATGGGTATTTGGGTTGTTTTTTACTTTTTGGCTATTGTGAATAGTGCCACCACTGTGAACATTTCTCCCGGGCACACAGAAATGCAGTTCCCGGATCATATAGTTACTCTATGTTTAGCCTTTTGAAGGAATGTCAGGCTACTTTCCAAAGTGGCTGCACCATTTTACAGTCCCGGAAGCGGAATGGAAAGGTTCAAATTCCCCTATATCCTTGTGAATATTTGTTATTATGTATTTTTCTTTTCTCTTTCTTTTTCCTTTTTTCAATATTAGCTAACCTAGTGGGTGTGAAAGGGTATCTCCTTGTGGTTTTGATTTGTATCTTTCTGATGGCCGATGATGTTCAGTCTGTCTTCATGTGTTTATGGGCCATTTGTAATCGTCTTTGGAAAAATGCGTATTCAGATCCTTTGCCCACTTTTTAAAATTGGACTGTCTTTTGATTATTGAGTTGTAAGAGTTCTTTATATGTTGCAGATACAAGTCCCTTATCAGATGCATGATTTGCAAGTACTTTCTCCCCTTCTGTGGGTCGTCTTTCCTGATGATATCCTTTACAGCAAAAAGGTTTTTTGCTTCGATGGAGGGAGACTTAATTTTCCTTTTGTTGTTCATGCTGTTGGTGTCATATATATGATATCATTGCTTTATTTAAGGTCACACATATTTGTGCTTCCATTTTCTTCAAAGGTTTAGAGTTTTAGTTCATACTTGATGCATTATGGGTTGATTTGTTAAGACATTTTTAATGTTTGCTTATTTTTGAGACAGGGAAAGACCTCTGTGAGTGGGGGAGGAGCAGAGAGAGAGGGAGACACAGAATGTGAAGCAGCTCCAGGCTCCGAGCTGTCAGCACAGAGCCCGACGCGGGGCTCAAACTCACGAGCCATGAGATCACAACCTGAGCTGAAGTCGGACGCCCAACAGACCGAGCCACCCAGGGGCCCCCCAGCCCCGGGTTGATTTTTGAATAGTGTGTAAGGTAGGGGTCCAGCTTCATCTTTTGCAGGTGGTTATCCAGTTGTCCCAGCGCCATTTTTTGAAAATACTAAACTTTCTCCATTGGATTGTTTTGGCACCTTTGTCAAAAAGCCAATTGATTGTAAATGTAAGGGCTTATTTCTGGACTCTCCATTTTATTCCGCTCATCTTTATGACTCCTCTTATGCCAACACCATCCTCTCCTGATTGCTGCAGGCTTGTGGTAAGTTTTGAAACTGGGAAATGTTGAGTACTCCAACTCTGTTCTCCTTTTTCAAGATTGTTTTGGCTATTTAAGGTCCCTTCAATTTCCATATGGATTTTATGATCAGCTCGTCAATTTTTGCCAATAAGCCAGAGGGCGTTTGGATTTGAATTATGTTGAATCTGCAGGTAGTTTGGGAATTCTTGCCATTGTAACAATATTACATTTTTCAGCCATGAACTTCATCAAGTTCATCTTTCCTTTTATCTAGGTCTTCTTTAACTTTTTTTCAGCAGTGTTTTTATAGTTTTCAGAGTAGAAATCTTATACTTCCTTTGTTAAATGTATTCCTAAACATTTTTTTGGATGCCATTATAAATGGTTGTTTCTTAATTTCAAGTTTTTAAAAAATTTATTTCTAGGAGAGAGAGAGAGAGAGAGACAGCGTGAGCAGGGGAGGATCAGAGAGAGAGGGAGTCACAGACTGAAACAGGCTCCAGGCTCTGAGCTGGCAGTCAGCACAGAGCCCGATGTGGGGCTCGAACCCACGAACCGCGAGATCATGACCTAAGTGAAAGTCGGACGCTCACTAAGCCACCCAGGTGCCCCTCTTAATTTCAATTTTTTGATTTTTCATTGCAAATGTATAGAAGTTGCTTTTTGTATATTGATCTTGTATCTTGCAACCTTGCTGGACTTGTTGATTAGTTCAAATGCCTTTTTAGTGGATTCCTTAGGATTTTCTCTATATAAGAGCATGCCATTAGCATATAGAGATAGGTTTACTTCTTCTTTTGCAATAGGAATGCCTTTTATTTCATTCCCCCCTAATTGCTTGGCAATTCTCCACGCTGGGGAGAAGAGGTGATTTTAAGGGAAAAGCCAAAAGTACGACATTAGCTGTGGAGGTTAGTACGTGCCTTTTATCAGGTGAGGAAGTTTCCTTCACTTTCTATGTTGTTGAGTCTTTTATCATGCAGGGGTGTTTGGTTTGTCAAATGCTTTTTCTGAATGTACTGGGATGATGTAATTTTTGTCTTTTCTTCCAATGATACAGCATATTTCATTAATTGATTTTTGGATGTTAAACCCAAGGTAAATCCCACTCGGTCATGGTGGGTAATCCCTTTTCTGTGTTGTTGGATTCAGTTTAGAGGAGGCTTTTTGTAAAGTAATTCACAGCAGAAGAAGAGATGGAATTTTTACAGCAAAATAAATCCCGTAGGCCGAGCCTGGGGCCAGACCACCAGGCATCTTCCTCTCATTTCCTCCTGCGCCCACAGGAATCCAGAGCCTGCTTTGGCTCCATCATGAGGAAGCAATGGCCCTGCGTGATCCCACCCAGGGGAACAGAGGAGCTTAAAAGAGGGGAAAGCACAAAACAGGGATGAT